TTTAAGCACAGTGATTACTAAAATCTACAATGATTACTAACCAACATGCATGTTGTCAGAAGAAATGAATGAATTAAAGGCGTATAATAGGAGTGTACAATAGCAAATTAAGTCCTATTGTAAAGCTAGATAAAAGGAAGACCACCCAACATTGTTCACCCTGTTGCCCACCCACTTTAACAATGGTATATTCCAATTGGGTGGTTTATGTCCTGGGTGGTTTATGTCCGTATACCATTTAGGAAATGATAAATAAAAAAAAACCAACACTGAATCAAATTCGTTTATACTCGGTGACGGAGGTAGCAAGCCGAAACAACTACAGTATATTGAATGCTGTTTACACTCACAATTTCAGAGTCATAGTAGTACATATGATTAAAACGACAGAGCAAGCCAAAATTGTCTCAATTCACATCACATGAGACATTTTTTTTCCAATGTGGTATTCATTGCTTTTCGATATCTGTGTAAATTTTAGAACTATTTTTTGCTCTCCTTAGATGTTTTCTTCAACGCAGATCTAGGGCATAGGCCTAAATGGTGAATCCCCAAAAATTTATTTTGGTGGATTTTATTAAATGTGTATAAACTTTAAAAAGAATGTATTTCAATTATTGAATCAATATTCTGACCTTAAATTCTGATGTTGAGCTCGAAAAATTCGTAAATTCTAGGCCTATTCTAACCTACTCAGTAAGTATACTAATCCAGGAGGTTCTGATTATCACTGCATGTGATTGCACATGTGCAACCACTGTGCAGTGTACACTAAGAAGTTCAAATGGGAAACTAATTTTCCGAACCATATAACATACCACGATGTTCAATCATCATCAATCAATGTGTTTGAATCGATATTAGGCCTACAGGAAAATAATTTGTTAATAAAACATTGATAAACATTGTTTCATATGAGTGAGTACTGTATGTGTGTAAACTTGTCTCTTTCTTATCTGTGCCTGGGATAGCCAGCTAAACCCTGGTCCTAACAACTGAGGTAGGCTGCAGGCTTATGGCGCCTAAGCCTGCCTGGGCCTAGATACTGTAGCCTACACAGTGGCTGTAGGCCTATCTAACCTAGGCCTAAACTCACGATACGATATTTTCAGCTATTGTATGATAAAATAAATGAAATTTAGGCTTTTTTGAGATTTTGCGAAAGTTTAATGTCGTGAAAACAGCTGAAATTATTAATTTGCTTCTAAAGTTTCTGGTTTACAGTATCTATTTAGGCTGGCATATGTATGAAGAATATGTAAAAATATCAACTTTTTTACAGCTCAGTAGTTGATTCTGAAAACTGTTTAAAAAAAAATGATGTAGAGAAATGCAATCAAACCCTGGACCCCAATGGGGGCCTAGGCGGCCTCCTAAACCCCAGGCATGTACAGTACATCAGCGTTCCAGTCTGCGGCTGTGAATCGCGATTGAAATGCATAACAAAGGCGCGACCCTAATGATTGGTATTCTTGCCATTTTGGTCTGTTGCCATTTTGGTTTATTGTCATCTTGATCCGATAGAAAAAAAAATGACCTGTTCTCATCCTCCTTTTTAAGATTTTTTCGTTTTGTATTTGGAATCTACAATACAATTGTGTTCTTACATGTCATTACACACACAGTTTTCCATAGTCTGCAAGCTGCTGATGAGCCTATCATACCAATTTTAACACTTTGTCTTTGATTCTGGTGGAGCATAAGCATAGTTCACTAACTAGGCCATCAGAATTTAGGCTTAGGTCTAGGCCTCCTGCTACTGAGAAAAAGTGGCCCATTCATGAATCATACATGATTCTTGATTGATGATGATGTTTTTGTTATTGTTAATAATTCAGTCTTGCATATAGTAGTAGAATCCTGGAAGTGGAATAAATTTTTAAAACACTAAAATAGTTCAAAGAAGATACTTACTTCTCTGTCTTTAATGCCTAGTAACAGAACTTCTTCCATCAATGTCATTCTCGTTTCTTTCGAGTCCTCGTCCACATCTCCTTCATCTATACGGTCGTCGTCATCAGCCTCTCGTCCCCTCTCGGCTCCTCCCGAACCTCCGCCCGCTGTCCTTCTTCTCTGAACAACAGCATCGACGGAACGTTTTGTCAAAGTTGACATCTTAAAATAAACCTCTAATTATTATCTTAAACCGTACTCTAATCAATTTTACTTATGTTAAACAATAAATCCAGAGAGGAGACAGACAACTTTACGTGATAACCCTGAATTTCACAACACGTACACAAAAAACAACATGGCTGCCAATGACGTCATTTAGTTTGCGCTACTCAAGAACACTAGAGGGGGTATGATCACGATATTGCGCACTAGAGAGGGCGCATGATATGCTAATAACCCAGAGCCGTAGGCGACTTTGCTCCCTTGTTCTCATACCATTTGGTAGTACGCATGTACAACAGCCGGTTGCTTAGCGCACGTAAATAAACTTGGGCTTGCTGACCGATAATTTGGCATAGTGTGTAAACAAATTCCTTTTTTAATTTTAGGGGATAAAACTGCACTGTTCTTAAGAAATTATTAGCCCACAACTTTAAACACAGATTATGAGTGTAAGATCATACAATGCCTCTGTCAGAGTGGGAAACTGGAGTGAAAATATATGCTTGGAAGAGGTAAGTAAGATTAAAAAAAAAAGAAGAAGAAATCAAAACGAAAGTAGTCTGGCCTGGTAAGGCTACATTTGAGATTGTAGCGTAGGCTACCTAGCCTAGCCCTAGGCTAAAGGCCTAGCGTTTGTCCGCCAAAGATGTTGATCCGGCCTGCGAAACATTACTAAAGAGAAATCATTTTACTGCCGATGTTTAGAACTTTTTCTGTTTAGAGCCACACCACATCATAGGCACCCCTAGGCCTACTCTATCTATCTAGTAGGCCTAGCAATGTGTACAAAGTGTGGCCTTTTCTGAGTGTAGGGCTATCTATGGCGTAGAATACTGGCAGGTGGTATAATGGGGACAATGATTAAGTGGGACACTGATATTATATATATTCATTTTTTGAAACGGTGGCTAGACGTTCGGGCCCATTTTTCCAAAGACGATCGGGCCCATTTTTCCAAAAACGATCGGGCCCATTTCCTCATGACTTCGGCCGCCGATAATTTCGGTCGGGCGAAATTTGTATGGGGCGCCATATGGGCATTATCCCACACCCACTATTGTTTGGAGTCGTCATCTATGCCGTGGTGTATGTCTATTTACAGCTAATTCAAGCACAATGCGTTAGTTAATATTTTTCTTTTTTTTCAGGTAAGAGAGAATGTGGATTCTATCAAAGCAATATAGCCGTTGAGACGGTCTATTAGGCCTAAAAATATAAATTGTTTGTTTGCTCTTCTTTTTTTTAAATGATAAAAAGGGGCTGGTTGAAAAGAGTTTTTTTAACACATTTTTTATATGTAAAGAACAAAGCAGAAAAGAAGTTTTCTTCCTTTGCCACCCCTCTTTTTTTCTCAGGTAGGGGGGAAGGTGAGGAGGGCAAACAGACAAACAGCCTTATTATACTTAGGACCTTATATTAGACCTACTGCATTATTTTCTGTTCTATCATTCATTTTTATTTATACTGAGTGGTAAAACTGTACTTGAAGATGTAAAGTAAGGTAAGTTTCAGTGAATAATTAATAAATGTAATGTTTTGTGTTGTACAATTTGATATTCAATAGGCCTACAGATTACGTTTATTTGGGTGGTGGTAGCCTGCACCCATGGACTAACACACAATAATGTCTAAAAGTATACATGCATTTTATTTATGATAGCTGCCTAAATGTTTATTTGTTAGAAAAATATTAAATAGAATGTACGATATTATGTAGTATAATTCAGTGTACGTTAGTGTTATTTCATTGATGTCTTATTGCGTGTTTGAAATCCTGTCTCAAGATGACACAGCTGTAGCAGAAAATCCCAAACAAGGTTGAGATATGAGCCAATTTAAATGATGATCATTCAATAGCAGCCTATATTTTGTTCCCTCGAAATAACATTACGTTCCCTTGTAATGTTATTTTATGACTTCAATAACATTTCGTACCTAAAAATCTTAACACCTCCCTTTTGTATGTACCAGATATGTTTATTGGAAGTATTATTTAGGTGTTACCCTTGCAAAAATAACCATTAACTTTGCACCTTCCCCGTGAATTTTAAAGTATGTTTGTTGGACATAAATTGACTGTTGCCATACAGTTGTAAATAGCATTGATTGATATTTCCGTGACTTTAAAGGTGTTAGCTTTTAGTCGTGTCCTTTTTTAAAATATTATAATTTCAAGCTTAACTCTTCTGTTGAACACAAAATTTGGAAGAAAAAAATAAAAAAATATTTTCCGTAAGCTTATCCACAGAAACTGTCCCATTGCTGACCTTTTGAAAATAGTTTTAACATCAGCATCATTCTAAAGAAGTTTTTCATTAGGCCGATAAAATGTTGTGATACCTACTAGTAGGCCTATATACAAACAATCTAATTGATGACCTTAGGCTGAATGATATTTATATTCCTATCGTTAGGCATATTTATTATCATTAATATCACCATCACATGGGTGCAGTCGGAGTGAAAGGGTCTCGACCCTCTCAAATTAAGCAAAATTTTAAAAAATTTCCGGAAATTGAAAACATCATATACATATATATATATATATATATATTATTTTCCAATTTATTAATCCACACAAAATTAGAAGTTATAACATTTATCATTCAAAGTAGATATATATAGTATATATATATATATAAATATATATATATATATACAGAGCAAGAACGCGGCGCTCCAAACATTTTGTTATTTGACGGGGCACTACCCAAATTGACCTAGGCAAGCCAAAATGGTTTTGGAAATTTTCGATTTTGTCAGCAGACAATCGGGCCCAATATTCAGTTTTCCCTAAAGACGATCGGGCCCACGAGACGATCGGGCCCGTTTTTGGACGATCGGGCCCACTTATGTCACCCCCTGTCAGGAAGAATTTGGTCCGGGGACAAAATCGATTTTGGCTTTAAAATTACCTGCCAAATGTAGTCTCATAAGCCAAAATCAGTCCGGCTTCTATTTAGGCCTAGGCTAGGTAGGCCTAGCAAGGCCTTAATGGTTATTCAATGGTTATAGCCTAGCCTACCTGTATTTTTTTAGCATTTTTCATAGTGTTTTTAACCAACTGATAGATATCTCATCTTTATTGTATAATGTTTGATAAAACACATCCACAAAAGCTTAACACGAATCAATTCTGTCACTGCAAAAGATTTTGTAAGTATGGAAGAAGCATGAATTAATTCCCTCCACATACCCTACGAGCAGCAGACGTGTTACAAACAAGCGGCCAGGCTGACGGACCAATTTTATCCAAGAAGGACTTGGTTTTAGCGGCTAAAATTGAGCGGCCAAAAGTAGTCCGACGGACAGGCCTACTACTAACCAGTCTTCAATAACTGATAAAATAAATGAATTAAAATTCATATCATTCATTCAGTCAGATAAACATCATCGATCAGCCAGTTATAGGCCTACGCTAGGCCGGTGTATGACTTCTTCGGCCACTGACAACTTTGGCTACGCAGAATTTGTATGGTGCGCTATTTGGGCATTATCTCAAACTACATGCTGCATTGGTATATTGGCTGTTTTAAGCCTTTAATAAACTTCTTAATTAAATGTAGCCTATTAGTAGATAAGATGGTTACTATTAGTAGAGTGTTATACTTCTGCACAATGTATTGCTTTCATGTACAGTATTATTTACTTATTTCAGGTATGCAAATTTTTATTGAAGCATTACTATTATTACAATTAATCAGGCAGTTCAAATGCTATATATTACATTGCTTTAATGACAGATTTACCTGACTGCACAGAATATTTTCAAAAATTGATCATCGGAGGAGGGCGGAATAAAAATAAAATTTTGTTTTCTCATTTAGCAAATAGTTTTGACAAAAACAGATGGAGGAGAAAATAAATATATAATTTTATTGCTGAATATAAAATGGATGGTTAAATGATTCAAATTGATATAATTAGAAAGAAATATACGTATCTTTTATTTGAACATTTCAAGGCAGCGGAGGACGTAACAAAAATTAAAAAAAAAAAAAAACTTAAAATGTAAAATGGGATGGTTAAATGTTTCAAATTTATATAATTGGGAAGAAATATACATATCTTTGGAGATTTCAAGGCAGCGGAGGGCGTAATAAAAAAATTTTTAAAAACCTTTTTTTTCAAAAATTTCAATTTTTTTGTGGCAGCGGGTGTGCTAATTGGCCAAAAATAAAATGTTATTTTTATTCGAAGTCATTATTATTATCATTCGAAGTATTTGCTAAACAAGGTTTAAAATTTCCTTATCCATGAATCGAATAACATTTTATTAAGATACATTTTTATGTCTGTCCGGTGATACCTTTCACACATCGGAAGCTGCAAAAACTAACACATTAGCAAAGTGCAGTACAAACATATCATAGTGCTCATTCAGCTATCGTATCAGCAAAGCATTAAAAGGGCACTCCATACAATTTGGCATTAACGGGGCCTGGCCGAAATTGTCTGCTGCTGAAGTTGGCCTAATAGGCCTATATGATTTGTTTTTGTTCAATTTTAATTTATATGTGCTGATGTTTAACTTAAACATAGACTAGGCTTATGTATGTAGTTTAAACTTTGTGAGAGCTTACTGAAATTCTAGGCACCACTCACTGTTTTTACATGGCTCCTGTAGTTATCCATCATTGGAATTCACCAAGCAGTAAAAAATAATAATACCAATGAAGAAGACATAAATGAAGAAAATAATCTAGTATTTTTCAAAGCAAATGTTTAGTGTACAATTGTAGTAAAGAAATACCTCATGATACTTTGTTTGAATTATGGCATGTTACTCACTTTGTGATGTGTTAGGACTACCCAAGTGAACTTCCTTCAAGACAATCACAGCTTGCCAATTTTTACATGCGCAGTATTACAAGTACTTTGTTTATAGTTTTTTTTAAACTCAGAAATGTCTAGCCTACCTAGTAGTACAGCCAAATCTATTTGATGCATTGACTGCATTTAAATTCTGCAAGAAATACACCAGATGTCATTATTATTGAATAAATTCATTGGATCCAAACGATAAGTGTGTACTAAAGGTTCTTTTAGATGATCCAAAGTGTAAAATTAAGATGTTACTCACTACTTATTTCTTGATGTTTCACCTGCTATCAGCAAGGCTTAGTCATACAGTAAGTGCCTATATGACAGTGGTGGGCTTAACGATGTCAACTCGGATGGACCATGATGGTGAACTTTAGCCTTTGATGACCTTTAGGGATTTCCCAAACGGGAAATCTACCCCAGAAAGTACCCCAGTTGGTCGGTGAAAAATGTGTTAGAAAAGAGAAAGAAAAAACAAAGTAAAGAAAAAGAAAAGAAAGAAACCATCAACAAGTCTAAAGGAAATATTGAAATACCGTACATCCCTAATACATCGGAAAGAATCTGAAGAAGCCTAAGAGAATACAATATTAACACATACTTCATACCACAAAACAAGCTCAAAAATCTTTTGGGCCCCCCCCCCCAGGATAAAATTTTAAAAGACGACACTTTGGAGCATTGTATGCAAGGTAGATTGCCATAACTGTAACAACACATACATAGGAGAAACCAGCCGATCCCAAAAAACTAGAATCAACGAACACAAAAATGGAAGTGACAGAACAATGTAAAGGAGTGTTAACTAGATCAAACAGACTGTTGGCCTCAAGCACCATTCACAACTCAGCCGTCACTGACCATATACTACACATAATCACGTTCCAAACTGGAATACCGTCAGAATTGTAGCCAAGGAATCGGAATGGAACCCCAGAATAATCAAAGAAGCCATCAACATAAGACTACACCCAATTACATGAACAGAGACAGGGTGCACACGAACTGCCCCATATTTACGATAATATCTTGCACTTGACTTTGGATCATTTAAAAGAACCTTTAGTTAGTACATACACCAGATGTCATCTACAGTACATCATTTACAGTCTTTTAAAACTAGGCTTAAAATCTCTGAATCCATTTTCTTTTCCATTAAGTTCTTGATGAATGGTCGATATCCCGCTTCCTTCTCAAATACCCAGTGCTCCCTTGCTGGGTGCACACAAGAAAATCCACTCATTCCTACTTCCTGTTTGTGACTTCATTTTTTTTCATTCTATAATACTTCAGCAGGCTATGGAATAAACCTCCACAATCTGTTGCCAATTAGTCACAAATCAATTTTTCAAAGTTGTGCATCTTGTCAAGATGCATACTTTTGATTGACTCCATTTGTTAAAATCCAAATGTTCTATTTGTTTTGTTCCCCACAGATTTGTACAGAGCATTCTCATATTCATTGCAAAGAAGAATTGTTTCTATAGAATAAAAAAGTACTAATGTACTTGGTTTAATTTGTTCTGAAATTGAGTTTTAATAAAAAGAAAATAAATTTATTTAATCATAGGATGGGCTCAAGAATTATTTGGAGAAGAGAGAAAGAGGAGAATTACTCATCCAGAAGAGATCCAAACTTTCAGAAACGATACTAAAAAGAGTAAGTATTAAGGTGTTTAAAAGTTGGATATTATTGCCATAAACTTATTCAATAATCCCTATGTGTTACTATAGGTTTGCGGCTCAGCGCATAGTCGATCTCCACAGGGGTTCTTACCCTGCCAGAACTTGATGAGTGTCAGAAGCATGTCTCATAATAAGTGAGTTTTAGATCTGAGGCAAGTAATCTGGGGCCATATGCTAATTATCTTAACCGGATGACATGACCTGCAAAAGAGTATTGATGTGTACTGTATGTGTGTGCCTTTTTAGTTTTTTTCTGATTAGTCAGAACATTTCTGCGATAACAGATTCACATTTCATTTGTCCCAGACAACGAACTACAGTAGTGATATTCAAACATTAATGAGCAATTATTTATGTACATGCACATGCCTCACAGTGACATCAGTAATACATCATTCTGAACAAAAAACTGACAGTTAAAGAGTTATGGAAAGGCCTAATTGTTCTTTGTTATTCACTTTCTGTTTCAGACAGAACTATCAGTAACGAAAGATGGGCTTCTGCATTTTGGTGACCATGTCATGGTGATGAATGAGGCACCGACAGAACAGGTTGCAAACAGTTTTGGTGACACCCCTCGAAAATCATGTACCTTAGCTGTGAACATGGCTGAGAGTAAAATGCACGAAGCATTGCGGTTTGAAGGCAGTTGTGGCGCATCGGCTTCAAAGAATCTAGAGTCTTGTGCAAGAAATTCATTTGTCATCACTCCAGTGTAAGTATTTTGTATGACCTCTTTAATGAATTACTGTCTGATAAAGTCTGGAAAAAACAAACATGATTGCACAAATAAAAACAGTACAAAAATTGTAATATGTATGCATAAGTTAATAGACTGGAAAACATTCAATTGACCTTGGATATGAGCATGCGCAGCTGCTCCATCCAAAAATTGGCTTATTGAAAGCTAAGTATAATCTCAGCTCAAACTTGCTTTGCAAACTCGTGTCAGACAAAAAACTGGTGTATGTGCATATAGTCATGATGTGGCATATATGGTCACCATATTTAGGCATGTCACATGTTTTTGTCAAATAAAATTTGATAAGCTGGACAGGGCATATAATTCAAATATTGAGTTTTTAACACAGATAGGCCTAGTATCTTAATTAACATTTATAATAAATTAACAAAGAATATGAAATAAACATTTTTTTTTATCAGAAAGGACACAAATATCCCATCTGGTTCGCCGTTATTGTATGGTCAACATTTTTACTTGCGAACTTTACCAGGAATTGGTGGTGATGTAAGTAAACGAACACGCTGTAGTCTGGTTGTAAAACTGCTGAAATGAACTTTAGCGGGAAAAAAGTAAAGGAAAATTAATTTTTGGTTTTTCTGAATCAGCATACCCTATAGTGTCTCAGAAAAAAATTCCCATGCCTGGGGCTTGGGCAATTTTTTTTACAGCACTTTGAAATTTTGACCTAAAATTCCCTATTTTAAACTATTTAAGATGGGGGTAGGGGAAATAAATTTATGTTTTTGGTCACTTTTACATATACTGTGGATATGAAATGTAACAACAACTTGGCTAAATAGTTACTCATCACTCTCATTTAAAAATTTGATCGGAATGATGACATCATCATGATAAATTCCAAGATGGCGTCCATTAAGGTGGTAAAAACTATGTTTTTAATGTAAAAATAATTTTATTGTTATCAAAGTCAATATAATCCCAATACAATATTATACATACAGGAAAAAAAAAAAACCTTAGTTAAATTCTTACCCATTATAGTCGTTCAGTGGTGGCCCCAGAGGGTCTGATAGGGTGGGTCCAACCACAGGGCCGACTAGACCCTCGGTCAGAGTCCCGGAATAAACTTCCCTGGGCTTATGAGAGAGTTTCTTTTTAGCTTTGTATGGCCCAAAATTTTGCTTTTAAGCCAAAATATTAGGGATTGGCAATCAAAATAATGTTATATGGATAAGCAAATCGTTATTTGTGGTGTGGCAACCTTGTCGAGGCATCGGACGATGGGAGTCTAGGCCTGTCAGACGGGAATTCCCCACCTCCCACGAAAATTTGGAATGATGACGTCAACACACCGAATTCCAAGACTACGACAATCAAAATTAAAGGAAATGTTTACCTATTTAAATTTAATCTTTCTACACTACATTTTTCTTCATCATCATTAGTATACTATTATTTTGTTACTCTATAATATTATTAATATAGTATATCATTATTATTATGTGTTTTAAACAATTTATAGTTTATAATTCACATTAATATTAGCGTTAGTACTGTTATTCTTAATATACTGATGTCATTATTATTATTATCATCATCATCTTCCTTATTGTCATCCCCATCCTCATTATA